TGCGGTGGGCGCGACGAGAACAGGATCCTCAAGTGCGTGGTGGTCGGGGACGGCGCGGTGGGGAAGACCTGCCTGCTGATGAGCTATGCCAACGACGCCTTCCCGGAGGAATACGTGCCCACTGTGTTTGACCACTACGCAGGTAGGAAAAAGTGGGGACCAACTTTTTCTACATGAGCAGTGGGGATGGGGGTACAGCCCAAGTTCAGAGGAGCCTAACTAACCCAGAAAGTCAGAGCCAGATGTGGACCTGGCGAGTACCAAGTTAACTCAAGCCGAGAATGTTGCTAGGATGGGGAGAACCTGTGCGTCAATTTACTTGGTACCGCCTTCCCACCTTGAGCAAATGTGTAAACCTGGAAAAATATCCTCCAGACCTCGGGGCCTGAAATTTTTCTCAACATTTTTGCCTAAACCTTCCTAAACTTTTCACAATGATCTTCTTCTTTTAAGTGTAGTGTAATTGCATAAATTTCCATTTAAAAAAAAATCACCACTAGACACGTGGGAAGAATGCATTACTCCTTCAAGCTAGTCAGTCATAAATGAAAATGCTAAGGTAACCAGCCAATAAAACATTCTCCTTTTTTTCTGGATTACTGGAGGCTTAAATTTTGTCTTTCTCTCTTCTGGGGTGGTAGATGAGGAAGAAAGTGTCCCAAGCTTTTAGAATATTGAGTGGGAAGTTAAGTAAAAGATTGCTATGCTTTTACAAATAAAAATTCAAATGCAAATAAAATCATTTTTCCAGTATGTCCTGAAAAGACAAACTTGAGTATGAACTATTTTAAACCATGTTCCGATGCTGTCGTCACGCCTTAATTCTTTCAGGGGACTTTTAGTTTTTGAGTGTTCGATAACTTATGAAAGTTCAGTCAGCACCCTGCCATGTTTCCCACATTAGCTGCGACCTGTAAGCTTCCCCTTATGGGAACTGATGTGTTTCTCTGAGCTCACCGTGGCCTCGGTTTTATAACATTTTTGGAACACAGCGATCACCAGTGAGTTATCAGGGACCTGGGGTCTGATGGGAGGAAAATTCCTCTCTCTTGGCCATGGCTCGGGATCAGATCAGTGTGAAGGAAGCCGCCCACAGGAAGCCAGCCTGAGTCTCTGCTCTTTGGCCATTTGAAATCCTCCTTCCTCCCTCCATAGGAAGTAGCCGCTTCTCCGTCCAGAGTACCATAGTCACCCCATCTCCCTTCCTTTTAAGTGTACATATTTGTAATAGTGGTATACAGTGCGCCCGGGAGAGATTCGCTGCTGGGGAGGGGGTCCATTTGCTAACAGGTTTTTTTTAGATTTGTAGAAATTACCTGAGCTTTTCTGAAAATAGTATGTCCAGGGAAGAACTTTTTAATGAGTATGGAACAAAGATAAAAACAGACTTTTCCTGGGGGGAGGTGGAGGCGATGTTGTAAAATATGGGGCTCTGTACCTTGAGGAAGGGATTCTAATTCTGGTCCCGAAAACATTGTAGCAGAAGTTATTTCTCCTGTTATCTTCTTTATGGCAGAAAGGAAAATAGCTAGCACTTTATTTAAGTTGCTTTCTGCTCAAAGATGGAACTGAAAATCTACTAAAAGGAAAGTCTTCTAATGCCTGGGAAATTATGTCTCTGGATACCCATCCCTCGGGTGAGCCAATTACAATCCTGTTGGCAAGAAAGACAAAACCATCTTTGGCCATGAAGTTAGTCTATTAAGAAAAAAAAAATGAGGTCAAAACAGCTGGACTTTGCTAGCATGGAGTTATTTTATATTCCAATTATATTCACAATGACTAGGATTCGAGCACCAAAACCCCTCAAAGAAGTTTTACTGTTCGAGTTTTCATGGACTAAACTGTATTGTTTTAGTTCTCGAGGAATCACGGCCCCTAGACACAAAGCAGTTCTTTGCACACAGTAGGCATTCCTGAACACGGTCACTTCAGTTTATGCTACATACTTCTTCTGTATGTGATCATCTCATGTACTGTCCCTGTGGTTAAAAGGGGAGGAAAGGCATGAGCCACACTCACACCAGAGACTCAGGAAATGCTGGTTTCCATCCCAAAGACTCCACCCTGCTCTTCCTGCTCAGGCTATGCCATCGGTCCCTAGGTGGCCATCAGGGAGCAAACCAACTCTAAAACAAGCAAAGGCCCCTTCCCCATCTGGATCCAGTTATCAGTTCCCTGGGTCCCACTGACCCACTCTGATATGACAACAGGAAACACAGCTGCCGTGTCTTTAGAAAAATGGCCTTGAAGTCAGGGATGGCCTGTCTCTTGAAGATGGCTCACTAACAACAGAGTGTGCATGTAATAGTAAGGAAAGTGTGCAGCAATATCACATGAGCCTCTTCTACTACTGTCTTTTCCACTTACTCTGTGGCCTTGAGAAAGTCACTTAACCTCTCTGTGCCTCTGTTCATAATGGTAACAACAGGGACAATAAAGGTGTTTGGATCGTTTTTAAAAGCAAAATGAATTCATGTGTGTAAAGTTCTTAGGGCCCAACACACAATGTGGGGTCAGGTATCATCTCAAGGTCTGTACACACAATGATGGAATTGAATGAAAATGTTATTGAACTAGGAACTACAATGGAGTGCGGTGTAATTCCAAGAGTGTACTGTAATACAAGGACAAGGCGGGATAGAGCGCATGATTATCCTTATAAAATAGCTACCGTGGGGCTGAGGAGTGACAGCCCTGGCTACTGTAGTAAGTGGGATGTTAATGTAAGAGGTAGGATACCAGACTCGCATAAGTAATGGCAGAAGAAAGAAAAGGCTGGGGGAAAAGTTGAAGTTTTATTACTACTAATTTATTTACCCATCTTTCCAAACTACCAGAATCCCAAAGTACACCAACTCCATGGTGGCTCTCCTGAGGACAACTCCTTGATCTGTGTCCAGTCTACTTCTCAAAATGTGTTTACATTTCTAGGGCACAGTCTGCACCATCCTGTCCTGATTTATGAGTTTCCTTAACTGCCACCCCCACCCCTCTCTGAGCTCTGGCTCTCCTTAAAGGAAGGTCATCCCTCACCACACACACACCCCACCCCCGGGTGTCTTGCCCTGTAGCTTTGATGGTTAGCTACTCTCCTTAAAATACATTCTTAGCTTGGTTTCTGGAACACCTCCTCCCTCACGGTTCTGTTCCATACCCTCAAACTCTCTCCACCTCCTCTGAGTCTCCCTCATTTCTCAGGGGCTGAGTGGTAACATAGTTCAGTGGTCAGTCCCTTGGTTCCCTTTTCTGGTTAGCCTCAGGGCCCAGGTGTTAGAGTATCTAGTTTCACAGCTTAAGATAGCATTGATATGCTGCCAATTTCATATTTATATCTGCCCACCAAGCCTCAGAACACTCATCTATGCACTTGCCCCACTCCGTTTATCTGTCTAATAGGCATCTCCAACCAATGTTTGTTTTAATTTTCCCATCTGCTGGTCCACCTCCCTTCTCCACATAAGATCGCTGCTGTTTTCTCCTGCTCAGTGACTGAGAGCAAACACCAGTGTTACCTGTGACTCCTTTCTTCCTTTAACAGCATCCTCCTCCCTCTCCAGTCAACCATCAGTTCTTATCCCTTGTCCCTACAAATGAGCTCAGCCTTCACAAAGCACCAAGAACCAAAGCTGGCCACTTGCCATCACCCTATTTCTTGCCTCTTCTCCTATCCACACCACCATCGTCTCTCATCCACACTACTATAGTGGCCTCTCAATTCTCTGCTTCAAAACCCGTCCCCTGTGTGCCTCCACCCAGGGGAACCATCCCCAATCCCAGCCCCCCACCCCAGTCCCTTTCCTCCACACTCACACGCTTCCTGTGCCGTAATGTCAAGGTGCTCAGTGACTTTGTCCATTTTCCCTTCTCTCATCTTCTAACCCTATTCTCAGTATTTCTGCTGTAGCCACAGTGACCTTCTTACTGTTTCTCATGGAAGACTCCTTGAATGTTTGCCATTCGCTCTTACCCTGACCTGACACCCCGCCCCCAGATCTGACCTAGCATTGATTGGTCACATAATTTAATCCATGTGTCTGTGCCTATGTGTTCACAAAAAACAAAAAGCCCACACTCACACCTGCGCATGTGTAAACACACATAACACACATGACTCCGACCTCTTATTCTGTTATACCTTCCTTTGCCATATTTAATACTACATGGCATTGTGTGTTTACTGGCTATTGTCTTAGTTATGGTTTCTATTGCTGTGAAGAGACACCATGACCACAGCAACTCTTATAAAGGAAAAACATTTCATTGGGGGGCTTACATTTTCAGAGGTTTAGTTCATTATCATCATGGTGTGACATGGTGGTGTGCGGGCAGACATGGTGCTGGAGAGGTAGCTGAGAATTCCTGTGCAGGCAACAGGAAATGGTCTCAGGTTCTGAGCAGTGTCTTGAGCACATGAGATCTCAAGGTTTGCCCGAACAGTGATGCACTTCCTCCAACAAGGCTATACCTATTCCATCAAGGCCATACCTCCTAATAGTGCCACTCCCTTTCGGGACCATTTTTTTTTTCAAGCCCACAGCTATCTTCAGTTTCTCAAAGCAGAACCTGGCACATATTTGACTCCCAGTAGATAATCACTGAGTGAACTAATTCTAAGCATGCACCATCTTGGTCTCTCCAGCATTTAAGTCATCTCTAGTCCATTAAAACTTTGGTGAATCTGGCTAAAGGAATAGTTCTGTGGTAAAAAGCCTTGCCTCACATACACAAGCCCTAGTTTTGATCCCAAGTATTAGAAAAAATAAAACTGTCTAACAAATATATGAAGAAATTGCTGGTCCAATTTATTTCTTTAAGAATGAAAATGTAAAACTCTTTGTTAGGTGTATTCTATCTTGTTTGGATTTTTTAATAATATATTTTAGATAATCATTTCCACTCCTATAGCTATAATACAGTAATAATTACCTTGACCTTAGTGGACAGTGTGACACCTACCAAATAGTGTCACCCTACAGTGCATAAATGTCACTTGATTTCCTCAAAAGCTAGGCTAAATTTGGCGTAGCCTACCCAAATAGTTGTACTTTTTATAAGACCAAGTTCAAGAATAACACAAGCTCCACTGAGGGTTAGGACCACAGAGCAGGGGCAGTGGGATAAATAGATAGGGTAAATGGT